TCTATCTATCTATCTATCTATCTATCTATCTATCTATCTATCTATCTATCTATCTATCTATCTATCTATCTATCTATCTATCATCCTGTCTGTCTGTCTGTCTATCTATCAGTACTGTTAAAAAGACAATTATTAAAAAAAGGCTGCATTTATTTGATAAAAAATACAGTAAAAACAGTAATATCATGAAATATGATTACAATTTAAAATATCTCTGTTCTATTTGAATACATTTTAAAATGTAATTTATTCCTGTGATTCCTATTCAGCAAAGTTGTATTTTCAGCATCATTACTCCAGTCTTCAGTTCAGTGATCCTTCAGAAATCATACTAATATGCTGATTTGACAATCAAGAAACATTTGATTATTATCAATGTTGAAAACAGTTGTGCTGCTTCATATATGGAAACTATGATTTTTTTTCAGCATTCTTTGAGAGAGGTCAAATGAAAGTAGAACGAAAATTAATTGAATATACAGGTGCATCTCAATGAATTAGAATGTTGTGGAAAAGTTCATTTATTTCAGTAATTCAACTCAAATTGTGAAACTCGTGTATTAAATAAATTCAATGCATACAGACTGAAGTAGTTTAAGTGTTTGGTTCTTTTAATTGTGATGATTTTGGCTCACATTTAACAAAAACCTTCACAAGGAATGGACTGAGGCTGGGGTCAAGGCATCAAGAGCCACCACACACAGACGTGTCAAGGAATTTGGCTACAGTTGTCGTATAGATACACATGTATATATATATATATATATATATATATATATATATATATATATATATATATATATATATATATATATAAACTGACCACAGATTTTTGAATGGTAGTGTATATATAGTTTTATTTGGAGGTCTGTTAAGGGGCCCATAGCAGAGTGATGCGTTCAGCCACACCCTGCAGCACCTGTGTGGGCGGAGCCTGACCATAAACTAAACTGAGTGCGATAAGAATCCAGTCACTGTTGCTTGTAAAGTGATGAAAGTAGACTTTGTCTTGGCATGTAGTGGCTTTCCTCAGAAGATAATCCCACCTGGGTCTGTCTTAATGGCCCTTTGAGCAATGTTTGATTTCAAAGCCTGGAGAAAGAAAGAAAAGAAAAACATATATTTTTTTCCAAAACAATTTTTTTAATGTTTGAGAAAAAAATTCTGGCAGGAAAAGGAAGATGAAAACTGGCAGGGAGGGTGTAGCTATGGGAGGCTATTCAGCTGAGAATTTTTTTTACTGAGTAAAACTAAAATTTTTTTTTAATGTAGATTATGAAACAAACGATTTGATGACTGTTATTATAATACACCTATCACCTGTTGTTTCAGGTGTATACATACATTCATACATACATACATTCATAGTTAGATATATTGGATATGATATGATATGATAGAGGAACAAATCCCATGTTTCTGTAGTGAGAATTGTTAGATATATTGGATACACTAGATTTAAACACATGAAATATTTGTGTTAATTGTAATATAGAACTATTTAACTATACTATTTCTCTGTGTCCCACATTATGCATTTACGCAACCCTGTTACAGCTTACATTTCACCATTTGATCATCTAATAGTTCTTAAAACCAAAATACACTGAAAGTGATAGCACTGTGCCCTTTTTACAGCAGTAAATAATTTTATTGCATTTTCTAAATTTATATGCAAATTGTAGCTTGATTGCTTTCATCAAGTTCAACCTTTCAACCCTATTACTCTCTCCCTCCTTCAACTGCCACAGTTAGAGTGCAGCACAGTACATGGATTTTTTTTATATGCCAGATGCCTTTCACCCTGTTACTAAAAAAATAAATAATAATAATAATTTAAGGCAAGTATAAACTCATATCATGGTGCTTATCACAGGCTCAAAACATAACAATACTGAGTGAGAACTTAATTTATTTTATGAGCTTAATTTATGCAAAATTTGCAATCCTGATGTTTATTATTTTTGTTACACGTTTTGATTATTTATTTTTTATGTTTATTTACTTTTTATTGATCAAAAAGGATTTTAAGCTTTGTATAGATGTGTCCCTAATTTTAGCAAATAACTTCATAGAAAGTGAATAAAAAATTGTTCATATGGTACTTATTTTGAACCGCTTATTGTCAGCATTTTGTAAAGGCTTCTAAAAGCACCTATTTTCACCTTTTGTTGAAAACTAAAGTATACATACAGTAACAGAGTTGATTTCAAGGATCTAATATTTCTTAAAGTATTAGATCATTGAACACTTTCTACAACATGGCAGGAAGAAATTTAAACTTTCGATTGTTTTTTGTGCAAATTGTAGCATTCCCTGCTTTCAACCCTCTTACTAAAGTAAAAAAAAAAAATTTAATTAATTAATTGTATTAGCTAATCAATATCTACAAACCAGTATTTGATCACAAACTAGCTAACCCCTGCTGAGTAAGAGCTTAATTAAGGCTAAATTTGCAACCCTGTTACTAGTAACCCTGTTGCCAAATCTGCTGTAGTTTTTATATTTTTCATGTTATACATTTTGTCTATTTTTTGTCCTTATTGTCTGCTTATTTAATGTTTACTGCTCAATTAGTTACACAAATTAGGATTTTAAACGTTATTCAGATGTGTCCCAATTTTTAGTAACAGGGTTGAAAACTATGCAAAATTAACCAAAAACAAACAAACAAACAAACAAAAAAAAAAATATATATATATT